AGTATACTTGATAAACTACTTGACTGGTATTACTTAAAGCCGTTACATTCTTTTCGAATATAATCTATACATTTGTATATAACATAAAACGTAACTTTGTGATAGTCAGAGAATATTATCACAAAGGGGTTTTTGGGGATAATATAATAATTGAAGCTAAACCACCATGGAAAACCTGGAAGCACTAGACAACCGTTTCATCCTAGTATGGAACTCCTCGTTGGCAGTGCACAAGCATGATTCCGCCCTGTGGGATCCGAACCCAGATATAGTTAAATAGATCAAACACATTGAAGATTTCAAATGTATAATTAACGGTCTGTATTTAAGTATCGATTTTATGGTTTACTTACATCATTAATATCCTACTAGCCTCGCGCGTGAGCGCTTAACCGCTAGACCACTGAAGCGGCTGGCATACAACGGTGTTAATGTCTAACTTCAAATGAAAGGTCCTGGGTTAGATTCTCTCACGAGGGGGGGTCGTGGATGCTTACTGCTTAGGAGTTTTATACCAGGACGAAACGGATGTCCAGTGCTTCCAGGTTTTTCATGGTGGTCTAGCTTCAATTAACTAATGATTCCAACTATTTAAGTGAAAATAGTGAGATTAAACTATTTGCACAATGCAACAAAAATAACAATTTAAAGTTTTATTATGTTTCTCAGTTCCAAGTGGATTGATCATAAAATTATGTTGAGAATAAAAATTATAGACGGTGGTATTTTTATTACATTTCGTGTCTCTTATTTGATTTTATATAGGAAGTAATTGATTTTTCATTATGTCTAAGTGTTTTCTATTTGGGATAAGGGATAGATAACTGTTTAAGACAAGGAAAAACTGGATAGTTAGTTATATTATGTTATTATGGAGCTTTTCAGGAATGAGTAATCATCACTGGGTGGTGATCAATCAATTGTGAATATATCTCAATCCTACAGGAGGTCGGTCGCGGCCAGGATAACCCAGTGGTAACGCCTCTAACTGTGAAGCTGGGCGACACGGGATCGGATCCGTCAGGGAGCACCAGTTCTCTCAAGATCACAGGTATACCTTGCTGACGAGCTCCGAATAGCACGAAACCCTAGTCTAGGGTTTCTTGTTGACTACCTTCAACCACCATCTAATGAGTAACCATAATCTTGCAGTTAGTCTGAATAAGAAGTTTAGCGCCTCGCTGTGACTGTTATATTATTGAGTTCATATTCTTTGGTTTAAGGGTTAAATCTAATCAATCCATGATAATGAATCAACACCTTCTATTCCATTTGATAGGTAACCGCCTCAAATCTGACATGGTCGAACATCATTTATCCCAGCCTCTCATTAGAACTCATAGCATGATTTCGGTTCGATCTCATAGGGTATTGCTATTGAGCTGTGTCGATGAGTTCCCAAAATAAGTTGACACAGTTATCCAGTGTTTCGAGATTTCTAATAGATGTGTAATTAAGGTCAATCTCTGATATTAAGTATAAATCATTCTCAGTTGTATGCTAAGTGACTAACAATAATTATCAAGTAAATTTTTTCATCATTTTTCATGCGATTGGTTCGATTCACAAATTCAAACAAACAAAAACTGTAGCATTTGATCTTTTGTACGTGACTTCAGATACAAAATAAAATTACCTGATTTTCAACACTGAGTTTATCAATGTCAGAAAGAGTTTTTTGTGAAGATTATAGTAATTTCAATAGTTTAGATCATGAATCACTTGAAACTAGATCATTACGGAAAACCTGGAAGCACTGGATGGCTGTTTCATTCTATTGAGTTTATCAACAAAATTACATAACCGATTAGTAATAGTTCATATATGATTGGAAATTTTACGACTCCTAATTCGTCGAAAACGTTTTTGCGAAGAATCAATTTAATGGATCAAGTGAATTTGAAGGTTTAAGGAGGTTAATAATCGATTTTGTAGTAAATAAATTATAGACCATTTTTCAATGGTTATTAAATAATTGTATTTGATAAACAGAAACTCACTAAACAAATATGAATAGTGGCTAGCAGTGGAATCCAGAACACATGTTTCGTCCTATTTGGGACTCGTCAACTGAATGTACCTGCATCCTGGAGTTGATGTCTACTCATCCAAGTAGATAATGCGATGGTGTTTGAAGCGAACAGTACTGAGTTCGGGTCCTGAATCGGACGAAAGGCGTGTCCTAGATTCTACTGCTAACCACTATCCATATTTGCTTAAAAAGCTTGTGACTTAAGGCTGTATCGGGGCAATCCGCATAAGATGCGCATATGCTAACATGAGACTAATCAATTGCAGTTCTAAATAACAATGGGAAGACACAAGTTGAACAACACCAACCAAATTTAGAAATTCATTCAATATTATAGACTCTGATAAGTGACTACATAATCATGAATACTATAATAATCTACATAGATTGGCGATTTCCATTCACACTTGCATCGAATAACACAAATATTTTCAAGTCATTGTAATACAATTGCCACGAACTTGAAAAATGAGAATTTAGACTATCTAATGTTAATACATTTGAATCCCATGGAAAATACTGACAAACCTTAACAAGTTGAAATCTTTAGCTTTTAAGAAAGTGGCTTTTTACCAAGCCATTCACATTACCAACAGTCAATTGTAAAGGACTCCACAGCAGTGCGCATCCAAGATCCCGTAAGAGGGATTCAGATCCACGATCTTTTAACTCGCTCGTGAACGCCTAACCTTTAGACCACTGAGATGATATCCAACCGTGTTAATATCAAACTTCAACCAATCCACAATATTGCACCATCATCAATTTTATGAACTAGATATTTGTCTCTACCTGACATGGATTAGCTCCACTGGTCACGGTTTCTCACTAGAACTCTAAGAATTACCTCAGGTACCTAGTCACAAGTAGGAACATCCTCGGAGTTCTAGTGAGAAGCCGTGACCAGTGGAGCTAATCCATGTCAAAAAGAGACAGGTATCTACTTCATACAATGGAAGATGGTAGTGCAATTTCGTGGATTGTTTGAAGTTCGACATTAACACGGTTGGATATCGGCTCAGTGGTCCGAAGGTTAGGCGTTCGTTCGCAAGACCGTAGGTCCTGGATATAAATCCCTCTTACGGGATCTTGTATGCCCACAGCTAATGAGTCCCCAACTAGGACGAAACGTCCTTCTAGTGCTTCCAAGATTTCAAAAGTATTCTAATATCGATCGATTCATGATCTCAATCAAAAACATCATCACTACAATCCCATACTGATAGTCACTATTGGTCTAAAGATCTATGAAACTAAATTGATTAACTAATGTACTGAAATTTCATAGATCTTATCATTCAGATTATGTAAAGAAATAACCAGTACATTTTGATGTAAGAAACTAACATATAATGTGTACATATTGATTCTTTTTAAGATTCTCATGAAATGTTTCTATAAATCAATCAAATTATTCTTTAACAATTAAAGACAAACTTTTATGATCAGTCTGAAACTCTTTCTCAACATTCATGAGTATGTAGATAATATACTGAATGGAACTAATAAACGTTAAAATTGGTGAAATATGGCTTAATTGACAAAATAATATTTGTAGTAAGATGATTGTTAAATAATGGAACAATATAAAGAGTAAGATATATTTTGAGTAAAGTAAAACAGTCAATTATATGGACTAACTTCTGATTATTAAATGAAGTAAGCATAAGTTTACGATTGACCTATTAGTTCATTAGTAGTCACGTATCTAGGATATTTCGAAAATAAGATCAAATATGTTTAAGAATATACATATATACTAATACAAAAACACAAATGAAGATGAATTTATATGACAGTTCTATTGTATGGGGCAGAAACTTGGAAAACTATGAAAGCTATTATTTAGAAGATATAAGTGTCTATTAACAACGGTCTACGCAAAATACTTCGGATCGATTGGCTAGACACTATCAGCAACAATATACTATGGGAGAGAACAAACCAAATCTCAACGGAGGAAGAAATCATAAAGAAGAGCTGGAAGTGGATAGGACACACATTGAGGAAAGCTCCCAACCGCATCACAAGACAAGCCTTCACATGGAGTCTTCAAGGCTAAAAGATGAGAGAAAGACCAAAGAACACATTACACTAAGAAATGATGACAGACATGAGAAGAATGAACAAGGATTGGATAGAACTAGAAAAGAAGCCCCAGGACAGAGTGGCTTATGCCCCAATGAGAGTAACAGGCGTAAGGAGATAAGTAAATAAGTAGCGTCAAATATTGTAAAGTAATGAGATATTCAAACTAAATCTCCCCTTTGTACAACTTCCATAAATTATTTCATATGAAATATCATTGTTTTAATTCGACATAAAATTGGTAAAATACCATTGAACTACCATGTAATCTTAAGGAAACTGGTGCTCCCTGACGGATTCGACCCCGTGTTACCCAGCTTAACAGTTAGACACACTACCACTGAGCTATCCTGGGGGCGAACGACCTCCCGTAGGACTGAGATGTAATCACAAATTGATTAATCACTGGGTAGTGATCAATGTCATGTGTGTCATGTCCTTATCAGTGCAGATCGAATGCTTTCGACCACAATAGTGCACACAATGTCGAGTCACCTAGATCGGTGGCCACATTGACATGATCGATAGCATTCGATCAACACTGATAGGGACTTGACACACATGACATTGATCACCACCCAGTGACCAATCAATTGTGCCTACTGAATTATCATCTATCGATCTGAACCACAAACCCATTTATTTGGTCATCCTGAAAACTTGAGATCATCTAACAATTGTCAATAGGGATCTTATACAATACACATTAATTTACCAACTCATGTTTAATATTTCAGACATCAACATTGTTTAATTTTCTTTTAACACATACTTTTTTAAAAATTCATTTTAACATCACAATTCTCTGATTATCTCTACTTTCAGTTAAATCAAACTCAAACACAATCTACTTATTAAATTTGATTCATAAAAGTACATTATGGATGAAATTAAACAAAAACTTCCAAAAATTGAAGTTAATCAAGGAACAATTGAATATTCAAGTGAACTGGAATCATCAGAATCTGATGAAGAGTAAGTTATTGTGTTATACATAGAATGTTTGATAAAATATTGATTTTATTGTTTAATATTAATGATCCGTATGGAGAAAAAAATATCTCTTTTCAGTGATATTTACACCCTTTTGGCCAATTTAAAAGTATCAGTATTGTAGGCAGATATTGTTGACTATTCAAAGTCTTTACAATCATGTGCTGATAATTATCATGTGCTCAGTATTGGCTACTTTCGAGAAATGATGTAAATTCTGGTGAGACTGTGGACAAATCAATTAGATTTACGATAATAGGTCTTATAATTTTGGAATGAAATTTATTTAACCTTTAAATAGAGTTTCAGCATTTTACCTGATTTTGGTTCGTGATTAAAACCCTAACCATCAATTGTAAATCATAATTTTTGTTCTTCATACTGGTTTATAGTCCTCATTTAATCCTAGCAAATAAGTGGACATTCTCAAAGTCAATTTAAAGTCTCTCGAAGGTCATCTATAAATTATAGTCCCACCACCAATTCCACCACTCTCATAAATTTATGATTGTATTTTATACTACTTATTATTATTAAGTAATCATCTAACATTCAATTAACTTCTTTCCTCATTATGATACATGCTTTACCTAATAAACAAATCCCCACTTTTATCTGACGTTCCACTGTGTATCTCATACTAGAATGAAATAAATGTCTAATACTTCCAGGTTTTCAATGATGATCGAACTTAAATCGATTCATGAATTCAACTATTAAAATTTACATTAGCTGATAACCTTGAATATAGGTTGAAATTTGTTTAAAACAACAACAACAACAACTGAATAGTCATTAATTTTACATTAGATGATTTAAATTCCAGTAGAATAATGTAGGTAGTCACTTCCTACCAAAATTAATCTATATCCTTGTTATGTCTCAATAAACATAATGAATGGTAACTTTTGGGACCTATATATGGACCAATACTATATATATATATATCCTATAATTGTTAAGTAACTAAACTGTTCATATTCACGTCCCTTTTATTATGAGCTTTATTTTGTTCTGTAAACTATTATTATACGATTTACCATTCTTGAGTTATGCTCCAGTCTATCAATTACTATCTTCCACATTCACAGCCACATTTGGTCAAATATTGTACAAATGTGTATTTTCTATTTTATGGTACGATGTGGTCGGTTTGATTGGTTTATATACTCAGTATGTTTGAAATATAAAGATCCATATTGCAGAGGCTGAGATAAGTGTTCCGGACTCAACTGGCTAGGCTAGGTGGAAAGCAGGACCAATAAGTACTCTAGACTGTTCGCACGGGTTTTATGCATCATTGGTTCGATCGATAATCTACTGCTCTCTAATTGGCAGTATCATTACGTTATATATTCGCAAGGGTACTCAGGCCACAAGTTGTTACAATCCTAGGGCATCTGATATGAGTTTTAGATCCCTATTGTTTTTCTTCAAGATTTTTCTCCTCTAACCGTATGTTCTTTTATCCTTTTTTTAACATAATATGAAACACTTATTAGAAAGGTTATCAAGTATGTTCTTTTCATATTTTACTTTAACCTGATCTATGTTTATGCTCTGAATAACAATACCAGGACGAAACGGCCGTCCAGTGCTTCCAGGTTTTCAATGGTGGTCTAGCTTCAACTGACTCATGATTTAAACCTGTGAAACTAAAGAATGCTTGAATTAAGGGAGTTTTGTAAATACTATTAGAACACTTCTAGTCACTATAGTAATATATGTACATAATTAATCGGGGGTATTATAAAATAATTAAAATAAGCAAAGAAACCACATGGTTAGAATAGTTGTGTAGTAATATCTCAAACCAAGGTCGTCAATTTCAAAACGGAGAACAGCAGTTCAGTCACTCTTGATGGCGAAACTCTAGAAGATGTAGAATCCTTCATATACCTGGGAAGCATCATCGATGGACAAGGAGGTTCAGATGCAGAAGTGAAGGCGAGGATTGGCAAAGCAAGGACCGCATTCCTACAATTGAAGAACATATGGAACTCAAAACAACTGTCAAGCAATATCAAAGTCACAATCTTCAGTAAGAACATCAAGAAAGTTCTACTGTACAGAGCTGAAACTTGGAGAACTACCACAACCATCATTAAAAAGGTACAAGTATTTATAAATAGTTGTCTACTCAATATACTTAATATCCGTTGGCCGGATACCGACAGCCTAACTGTGGGAGAGAACAAACCAGCTTCCACCTGAAGAGGAAATTAGGAAAAGAAGGTGGAAATGGATATGAAATACATTACGCAACTCATCAAACTGCATAACGAGACAAACCCTTATTTGGAATCCTGAAGCAAGGAGGAAAATAGGAAGGCCAAAGAACATATTAGGTCAGGAAATAGAAGCAGATATGAAAAGGATGAATAAGAACTGGGAAGATCTGGAAAGGATTGCCCAGGACGGGGTTAGATGGAGAATGTTGATGAGCGGCCTATGCTCCTTCACGATAAGTAACAGGCGTAAGTAAGTAAGTAAGTAATATCTCAAACAATGAATCTAATTGATTAAAGATCCAATCCACGAATGAATATTTGTTTCATCAAAATTTCTTGTACATGTTGTTAACGAGTACTGTTTAGCATAAAATCAAGGTTAGAAGTGGTTTTTTATTGGTTATTTTCAATTATCTAAATTCATAGTACATATGATGTTGAATCACTTTTTAGAAGTCCTTAGTAGAATTCACCAAGAATCTACAGTTGATATCACTTATTGAGAAGTTAGAGTTTGTTCCCATCTGATATGAGTGTTATTTATCAAAATTCAATCAAGAGTAAATCTGAACTAAACAACATGTACATTTTAGATTGTTTGTTTGAATTTAGCCATTGACGTTTAGAACTGAAATTAATCAGTCTCCTATTGGTATATGTAAATCCTGTGCAGACTGCTTTAATATTGCTTTGAGTTTCAAGCATTATAAGCAGAGACAGATGATGGATAGCAATGGAAGCCATAATTCGTGTTTCACCCTATTCACGACCCTTCAACTGAATTTACCTGTATCTTATAGTTGATTTTAACTCTGGAATTCTAACCCAGTACTATCTACCTCAAACGCCATCGAGTTTCAGAGTGAATATCAAGTCTTTGATGTAGGGTCATCCAACTGACGAGTTTCAAATAGGACGAAACACTCATTCTGGATTACACTGTTAGCCACCATCCGTCTTTGCTTATAAATAACATGTTTACTATTAATATTCTAAAAACTTTTATTACCATCAACTTATTATAACAGTTTACAGTTTAAATAACTTTATAATATAAATAACTGTTAAGCAACAATACGAATATACACTCAGATTTTGCTTACTCAACAGCTCCCATTAACATTCAATCCATATGTGATTCTACATTAGTTTAACCATAATTACAAAGATATAATAATATTAAAATCATACAATATCATCATCATGTCTAAAAACAATAGAAATTATTCATTAAAGTATTTTTCAGATAGATACTACATTAGTATCAGAAGAGCTTTTTTGGATATTATAGTAATTTCAACAGCTGAGATCATGAGTCAATCGAAGCTAGATCACCATGGAAAACCTGGAAGCATTGGACAGCCGTTCTGTCCTATTGTGAGACTCCTCAGCAGTGCACATCCGTCTTTCGGGACTTAGATTTCATTAATCACAGTACTCATCGAAAATAATTCACTTTATTAAGTTGCTTAATAATACATTTGAAGTACCATAGGAAACCAGAAGATGCTTTAGTATGGGACTCGACAGAATGCACTGATAATTCTACTAACGGTCACACCCGGTACTATCAAGCCACGTAAAAAATATTTGACCATTAGAGCCACTAAGTTTGCTTTAAATTCTATATATTCTCAGCCTCAATCAATTCAATATATAACATGACGTGTATCTCATATCATTGGTGACCAGTATTTCGTTAACAATATATCAAAACTTCATCAGTCACTACTTGATATTAGAATCGAAGAAACTTGTATTCAAGTTTATTAGTGTGAATCTGATTATATACTTCTAGACAAGATCTTTAAAGAATTGTACATGTGAATAACTGGATATTTACATACTAAGGTGAAATATTCAAATCCAACTCTTAAATCTTTCAATAGTTAAATTCATCAAAGCATTAAACAGCCGTTTTGTTCTACTATGGGACTCTTCCTTAACAGTACGCATCCACAACCGCGCCTCGAGGGATTCGAACGCAGGACCTAAATCTTTCACATTCCCCATATTTATCAAACATTTTCATTCATAAATTCAATTATTTTTCCTTCAAATATTTTAGTCACTATTTGATAAAGTTAAAAATAAATCTGATAACCATTGATCAACAATATCACATTTTATCTCTTGACTACTGAAATAGGAACTAACTAACATTTATCATTCTTCAATTGTTTACTAAAAAAATTTAATGAAGACTAATATCCTTTTCTTCTTTTTTTTCTTTTCTTTTTTTCTTTTCTTTATCCATTTTATTTAATTAAAAATCAGAAAGAAAAATAAAGTTTCACAAAAAATAAAAATGTGATGATAAAGTGGGGGGGGGGTGGAAACCAGTAATCAACAAATTGATTGTTTTGCATGGATGTTTTTTTATTTTTTCTTTGTTTGTTTTATCTTTGTTGGTTATTTGTTTATCGAGCAAAATAGACGGAATCATTTGACTTGTTCAGTGTTTTAATTATTATCATTGTTGTTGTTGGCTTGAATTCAATTGGTATTGTTTGTGTTGGATCTATCCATTGGTGTTTAGGATTGTTAGTGATCAGTCTCTTATTGGTATATATACATACTGGGCATATTGTGTCTTGGATTTCATTGCTAGCCACTATTTATCTTTGCATATAATGCTTGTGAATGAAGGCTATATCGAGGCAATAGACACACGATGTACATATGCCAATAAAAGACTGATCAATTGCAGTCGTAAACATCAATGGGAAGATTCAAGTAAACAATTTCAAG